GGAGGGTCAGGGTGCCTATGAGCACACATTGCTTTATTCTCAACCTCTGACTTTGTCTTTGTTTAGTACCTTGGTTGTTGACTGACAGAGGCTTTTCTTGAATTCTAGAATTCAGTCTTCTACCATTCTTGCTTGAGTCCCTTTGTGTCCCTGCTTGATTAACTGATCACTGAAGAAAGCAGCGAATGATTTTTGCAAAGCCCAGGATTATAGGCAGTTGATGAATATTAAACAGGCAAGAGTAGTTCAGTCTTTAAAGCAGAAACAGTGTGCGATTATCTGATTCCCTATATAGAATAAGAACTGTGTCTTATTTAGCTATGAAGTTCATAATTCCTTGCCTATTGTAAGCACTATGTAAATGTTGGATGAATGAATGAATATGAAAATATTCTTCTATGTAGAACAGCATGAACTATTCCCTCATGAAGCTTACAATCCTTAAAATTGCTTCTTTCTGAAGTTTTATATATTGCTGTGAAAACATTATGCACTAAGACTAGTTATTAAATTAAGATTTATATATCCCATCTCATATCAAAATGTTTGGAAACATCTTTTCAGTTTCTTCAGTGCTACAAGAGAGGCAAAATCCTGGCTCTATACCTGTGTAGCTATGTTATGTAGATGTCATTATTTAATCTCATGTTCTTTTTTCTTTCTTGAAAGGTTTTTTGCTATAGGATGAGAGACAGAAAGACAGAAAGCGAGAAATCACCCCTCAGGGGGATGACCACACTGCAATTCCTTGTCCTCCATTCTCCTCTTGGGATCTTGGACACGCATGCACACGTGCCCAGCAAGAGTTTAAGCCACCGAGTCTGGGACTCAAACCACAGTTAACTATAATGGGAATCCAGCGACATAGCCATTACGCTAACTGCTGGTCCTAACCTCACATTCTTCATCTCTAAAATAAGAGTTCTCATCTCAAAAATGTTTCAGAAAGATTAGTTAAGATAACATGCATAAAGCAGAAAGCACAGTGTCAGGAACATAAAAGACCTTCAGTGAGTATTCCTTTCTGCCTCTTCCTAAGTTGCCAATGTCTTGGTATTAGTATGAGATTGCTCCTAAAAGAATCTGTAGGAAATATTCTCTTCTGCATTTATGTCAGTGATTTCATGTTGGGAAGGAGTAATAAGAATTAATGAACTTTTCCAAGTCATATGACTTGCTCTGTTGCCCCCAGCCCCAACACCAGTCCTATAATATATAGATGGAGAAATACAACCAGGTGATATATCTAAACTTTAAGCACTCACCAAACGTTACTACTTTCTTGTGCTAACTTGCCCACTCTAATTCCTGGTAGAAGATTAGGATCCGTTCTAGGAATTTCATAAACTCTGGTTGATTTTTAGGTCTATGTACCAATCTCAACTGTACTCCTGTAGTCCAATCATTCTCTACTTTCCAATATAAATATTGGGTTGTTGAAAAAGGCATGACATATTTTTGTATAGAAAACTTAGAAAGATGTCATGACTTTTTGACAATCTAATACTTCACAATTTTGCTCTGTCCTTGAATATCTGATAGGCATTTCAACATGATCATGTATCCAAAATGGAAGCCTGATTTGCTTCCTTCTTAGAATCCATCCCATTTCAGTAAACAGCAACTCCATCCTTTTGCTTACTCAGATCAGAAAACTTGAAATCGTGGATGACATCTATTCATTTTTCTCTTTTTTCACACATCATGTTCAATCTATCAGCAAATTCTATTGACTCTCATTTCAAAATAGATCTTGATTTCACACTATATCTGCTGTAAAAATTTGGTCCAGCTATTAGCGTCTTTTGTCTGTAGTGTTGTAAAAGCTTACTACTATTCGGGAACCAGCAGTTAGCGTAATGGCTATGTCGCTGGACTCCCACGTAGTCGACCGCGGTTCGCGTCCCGGACCCGGTGGCTTAAAACTCACGCTGGGCGCGTGTGCGTGCGTGCCCAAGATCCCGAGAGGAGAATGGAGGAGAAGGGATTGTGGCATGACCATCCCCCCTGGGGGTGATTTCTCGCTTTCTGTCTCTATGTCTCTCTCTGTCTGTCTGGCGAGCGCACACGCCCTACAGTGAAAATCTCTCAAAAAAAAAAAAAAAAAAAGCTTACTACTATTCCTTCCCACAAACTTGTTTCCCTTCAAATTCCACAGACCAAATAAGCTGTTTAACAGAGGTTAGATCACATTATTCTTCTCCAAAAGTGTCCAATGGCCTCTTGTCTCAGTGGCAAAAAAATAAATAAAAGCCAAATTTCTAATAGTAGCCCCAAAGTCTCTCACTGGTCTCAGCCCTTTGCTGTCACCAGCTCTTAACGATCATCTCCCACTGCTCTTCTCTTACTCATATCCCTGCAGCCTCACTGGCCATGTTGCTGGTCTTTAAACAGAAACTCTACTAGTGTTTCCTGTTGTTCCCTTTACCAGGAGCATTCTTCTCTATAACCCCACACAACTCACTGCTCACTTCCTCCCAGTCTCTATCAAATGCCACTATGCCAGGAAAATCTTTTCTGATCATTGTCTTTAAAATAGCATCTCTGCTACTCACTATCCTCCTTACTCTGGCTCATTATTTTTATAAAATCCACAATCACTTGAAATGTGTTTATTTAGTTAGTTGCTTTTTATATTATTCTCTTGATGTAACATAAACTCCATACCTCAAGGTCTTTGTCTATTTTCATTATTTCCATGCCCCAAACACATGGAACAGCGTTTCCACTTTGGGGGCATTTAACGGATATATTTGTGTGTCATGAGGCATGAATGCTGTGTCCTCTCCAATAGGACCCTGTCTTCTAGAGCTTAGACCTTTCACCCTTCAACACTTGTTTGGGGGGCAAGCAGCTCATGTTAGAGCCAGCTCACTGACCAAGTGCACTGCATTGATGATAGGAGATGGGTTCATGCATCATTAACACAGAATCATCTAGTTATTTTATAAAGAAACAGTCCCAAGATTTTGTTTACTATTTCTTTTTTTACTTACTTACTTATTTACTTGATTTTTTATTTGGCCAAAGAGAGACAGAGAGAGAGAGATAGAGGGAATGTGAGAAAGCAATCCAGCAGATCCAGGACTCAAACCATGGTTGGTCAAGTAGGAGTCTAGCACCTTAATCTACCTCCCAAATACAAGCATTCAGATGGATTCTTAGGTGAGTCAGAGAAACTCCATCCTATATTTTCTTCACACTTCTGGGCCTCTTGGAAACTCAGTTCCCTCTCCTGCCTGACAAAGTTTAATTTATTAAACCTTTGCTACTCAACCCAAAATGTCCATTTTATAACTGATCTTTCTAGATGATTATGGCCAGATTTATAACCAGGAGCCTACTATATATTTAACTGTCTTCGTACCACTTGCCTGGCCTTTAAAATGTAAAGCTTTTAAGGTAGATGTGTGTGGAGGTGGGTTGTAAAGAGGAAGGGAAGGAGTAGACTGGTTAGGTCTTCCCTGAGTTCATTGATGATTTACACTACATAACTTAAAAATGGGAAATGAAATATGAGAACTTTCCTAACATTTTTGTTTCTGACACTGTCTTACCAATGCTATAACCACAATATATATTTATTTAAATGACTAAAATGTTTTACCTTTAAGGTGTCTCATCCCTTTCCGAAGATAATCGAATGTGCCATGCATTAAATAAAATGGTAGTTCTGTTCTTTTTGCATATATTTATGAGCTTCTTATTATAATTCCTAAAATAATTGATACTTTTTTTAAAAAATAGCCATAGGACTCATGTGCTTACCACACACACAAACACACACACACCCACCCACACACACACACAGAGAAAGTGAAAAAGCACCCTCCGCAAAGAGCTGTCATGCCACAATCCCTTCTCTTCCATTTCTCCTTCCCATTTGGATTTCGGGCACACACACACGTGCACCCATTGTTTCTCCAGTTTCCGGGTCCAGAACTGAAACTGTGCATCTAGCCACAGGGATCCAGCTGCCTTAAACACCATGCTACCAATTGGTCCAATAGTTGTTATTTTAGTTACTACTAAAATATCTTTACAAACACCTTCTTCAAAAAATGGATTTTTCTAGAAAGACTATAACTATCAATCATGTTTGAAAGAAGACTGAAGATTTATTTAGTTAATAAATCTGTATGCCTCACATGCTGCAGTTTGTTTTCCTTTACCATCAATCTGGAATTTATTATTTTCTCCTGCTTCGAAGTTATTGATAATTTTAAAGTCATTTTGCCCAGATCTAAGCAATAAGAATTTACTACAGATTGTGAATCAAGGAAATACACATAAATTAAACATAATGCAACAAACTCATGAAACTTAAATCTTAATAAGCAGGTATTGATCAAGGATTCTGATAGCATCTACAAATGCAGCTCTCTACATAAATCTTAACGGTATATAATGTTCCCCAATGCTTTTTTAAACTGTCAGTTTAGAAAACTGAAACACCTTGGTACCTTTACTGTGCTCTAATTAATAAAAAATGCATTTGAGTTTTATTTTCCCAAATGAAATATATATATAGCAATCATTCTCACTCATAAGACTTATTTTCCTTATGAATACTTATATCTGTGTTTATCTTGTCTTTTAAAACAATGTTGAGTAAAACATTGAGATAATATAAATTAAAGCACACTGTAAATGTATTCTAAAAGAATAAAACACTATTCTTACTAAATGCACATGCAACCATTTCAACACACATGCAAATAAGCCTTAATTTTATTTTCAAAATGCCACTCTTTAACCAATATAATGCACAATCAGTTTTAAGTATCAGGCAGGATGCTTTATAATACTGCTCTAGGGAAGACACACAATTTCTCATTTCATCATCAACACAGTTAAGTTGTATCACCAAATAATCTACAAACCCCTGATTAACCAGATGCCATTTTCCACCCTCTGTCCCAGATTAAAAGGCAGTGATGTGTTCAATAGGGTACTAAAACAATCATTGATCAGATTTTTTTTCTTTTTTTTTTTTCCAGATAGTTACCCCAGCCTCCCATGTAGAGAGGAAATGAAGCAGTCCAAGTGTTTGTGCATATAACTTTTGGAAAAGCAAATTAGAGTAAAAAGGTATTCGTTCTAGTTTTAAAAAATCTAACAGCGTATTATATAGAATGCCTCTGGTAGACCTTACTTTATCATCTCTATATTTTCTTTCTAAAGCTCTGAACACCTGTATCCATACTGGTGATGCCCATTCTCTGTGTAAGCTGGCTTAGCCAATGTACCATGGTGGGAGAAGTTGGTAGCCTGTCTCAGAGTTAAAGAGAACTTCGAGGTTCTGTTCTGATCGTGTAATATCATAGGTGTGCCTGGATGCTAGTTTGCTGTGTAACTTCCAAATCAGTGTCCTCTATGCCTTGCCATATTTACCTTTCTGGCTTTCCTGTTCTTTGATATGCCTTCTTATTTTGAATCCAGCCAATCTCTTAACTGTTGATCCCAATGGGGAATGGTTTCTGCCTTCTCTAGCTCCCTAATTATGAATGAACAAGCTTTTTCTAAACCATAGTTGGAGTCTTCTTATCTACAGTCTGACTGCCCTTATTGCCTGGCCCCCCTGTTATCAGACAGATCCATTTTAGCATTGAACAGGGACAGCTTGCACACTTGGCCTTGCTAAACACTAACCAAAGTTATGGGGACTCCTCACTCCTTCCTGTGTTGACAGTCTCTGAAACTTGCATGGTTGTCTGTCTTCAGTCCTACCATGTCCTGCGGGTTTCCCTCAGTCTGTTTGCTAAGAGGCTAGACTGCCTTAAGGCTGTTCTGATACACTGGTTCCCTGCCAGATTGCTCTGGCAGATAAATGTGCTAGAGCAAATAAAATCTTTGGCCAGAACTGGGATCTTTTTGTTGCACTCCTGCAAGCTCTATTTATTCTATCAGTTGTAATCCTATCACTCTCTATCAGAAAATGAAAACCCCAAATAGATGTCCTTCACATGCAAAGGTGATACCAGATGTGCCCTTAGAGTTTATTTTTTATTAGCTGAGATGACCTCCTCTCCCTGTCAGCTTCTCCGTTCCTACACTCAGACTGGCACATGCCCATAGTTTGCATGATAACTGTTCTGGGACTGCCTTATCAAAAAAAGAGTGAAGACACTTGGGCAACCTAAGGAAAAAAATAAAATTTCTACTTAGTGCTAAAAGACATTGAGTTAGCTAAACTTTCTATCTAAACAGAAAATATTTTATGTATCCTGTATGATTGGTAAATGGAATGCCATCTTTAAGTGAAACTATTTTAAAATATATTTTGGATAGATGATTTCTAAAATCACTATACTATTCTCTGTTTTCTTACACTAGGGATTTTAAATATGATGACTTGAGTCAACATTTGGAACACTGATTTTTTGTGCTATGCCCCCAAACATTATTAACATAGGTATAGTTGTTGGCACCTAAAATAGTTGTCTTCAGGTTGCTTTGCTCTGTGTCATTATGTCTGCTTTACGTTTTTTTCTATATATATCTTTATCTTTTTTGCCTTTTTTGATTACTGGAAGCATTTCCCCCCTTTTAATCTGTTTTGACTTGGGAAATGATATAATCATGTTTGGCAGAATAGGTTGTAACATAAAAATATATCGGTTCTGACTGAGTGCCTGAGGACATCTCTTGAGAACATATACATGAGCTTTTAAGGAGAATAATTTTTGAAATATTTTTGCCTTCCTACTTTCTTGCTGATAGGTATATCTCTGCCCAGTTGATGTGTCCCTGCAAATTCTGTGAAAACAACATCAAGGCTAGAAAAATATTGCCATTTGTCTCATATATCTTAATATCATATCCACATCATCACAGAAACACTGAGACAAAATGCACACAGGTGTGTTCTTCTGTTCATAGACCTAAATACATTTTCTCTAATGGAGACACTTAGGTGTGCTTAGAAGAATTTGGCTATGCACAGAATCCTCCTCAGAGTTGTTGTTGCTGGGTGATTTGTATTCTCATGTTTTTCTTCTCAGGATAAACAAGGTAGCTGCAGTATTGTGACACTAAGTCAGTAAGTTCCATCCACAATGGACCATTCAGACACACAAGATATCTCTTTTTCTTTCCAGTTCTTTCTACTCCTTATAATAAATAATTAAAACAACCTCTGTGCTTAAGTGCTCTCTCTACCTCTTGTTTAAAAAAAAAAAAAAAAAAAAACTCTCCTGGTGGAAGATTCTAGATGACATTAGGAGGCCAAATTAACAGTCCTGACTGCTAAAGTCAAAGACAGATATGAGGTAAGCTTTGCTATTTCTTGCTAACTTCCTGCACTTTCACTTTCTGTATGGGAATCACAAACTATAAGAAAACATGACTTTGATTACTGAGATGGAAGCCAAGGACCCTTTTTATAGATGGTCTAGGATTATGTGTAAAGCATATAAGGTTGAATACCTACTCACAGAGACTCACAAGAGATTATTTCTTGGGCCAAGTTGGTGGTTTGGCAACACTATTCACATTCATGAGGAAGCCAAATAACCCCCAATTCACCACGTTCAGGTCCACCTCTCCAGGAGACAAGAGAACAAAAGTTCATTGTGCTGGAGACCGAAATTGTTTTCACTTAGCTTTACAATGTTCCATTTTAAATCAAAAACAGTGTTTTAACAGATGGTCCATTCTAACTACCTTTTTATAAGAACACTCATAATGCTAAGAATGTCTTTTTTTTTTCTTGAGCATTAAATATAGAATATCAAACTTAAATTTTATAGTAGTTGGGTTGGGTGGTATTGGTAAAGATAAGCATGCTAATATATTCTCCAAACCTGGCCAAAATGCAAGGAGCTTGGTGGGGAATTCAGGCAAGAGGCATATATTTGGATAGAAGGAAAGAGAAAGAGAGGAAGGAGAAAAAGTTATGGCTCTTATTACTACCCTACTCTCCCTTCACAATCCTTGGATTATACTTCATCTTCAAAATCATAGGGAGAAAGAACATGAGTACGGCAAGATATATACCGTCCAGTTGTGACACTGCAAAGGATCTGTAAAGAAGTAGAACTCGGAAATATTAAAACTACTTGCTTCTACTACAGGTGGTTCATCTTACATGCCTGTTCAACTTCTGTCCCCATCATTTAGTGCACTGCCTGCCTAACCAGGTCAGTGCTTTCCCACCCATTTGAGGTAACAGGTGAGCCTTCACCTCTTCCCTTCTTCAGCATCTCCCTATCCATGACTGCTGTCCCTAACCTGAGTTTGAAATGAAAGCATACTTTCAAGTTCCTTTGTCTCCAGAGAGCCATGTGGAATGTTGCCTTTCCATGTTTAGGCTAGACAATGACGTTATGGATTCCCCTCCCAGAATTCTTTAGTCTGATGGAAAGACTTGTCCTAAAATGCACTTATCCTGCTTTATTATGGGCTCAAAATTTTCCATTACGAAAATGGCAAAATGTAATATAATGTAATGTAACCACTGTTCGCATTAATGGTGTTTCCTTCCAGTCATTTTTTTTTCTGAAAAAGCACTTATCCTTGACCCTGTTGATATTGTAAATATTTTATTATCCATTACACTATTACTCTGCTCCTTTTATGTGAAATCCCTATTTGCATCACTATGCCTTCCTCATATTTTGAGCTATTGTAGGTAGCATGGTAGAAGGAGAGTGGAGAAAGACTTGGGAGTTAGGTGAGCACATTTAAATTCTGATTTTAACATGTGCTAACTAGGTGTGTGTGAGCCTGCTAAGTTAACTAACCATTCTCTGACTCAGTTTTTCCATCTAAATGTGATGATAGAAACAATTATTTCATATGACTGTTTCTAATTTCTGAATTAGCAGTCTAGTTTCACCAGCTAGTCAGTCACTTGATGCAGAACAGGCATATTACTTCTAAAGAACAGTGACCACATTGTTAGACTTATTTAGGGTACACTGACAAGTAGCATCTATATGGAATTGTCAATTAATAGTATTTTATTGGGTACCCAAGAACAAGTCTGTAAATCAGTTTTTTTCTTTTTTTATAAGCATCTCCAGGAATGTTTACTTAAATACGTATATTAAAGAATTGTTATTCCTTGTCATGTCTCACAAAGGATTTTTTTTTCCTAATGTTATTTCAAATCTTTCAACTATTTAATATATTTAAGATCAGTACTTCACCAAACAGACCAAGTAATATTAAAATGATCATTTTATTAGATGTGTTTTCAGAGGAGAATAATTTCATCTTTTCATGTTCATCAAAGGAGCCAGCAAGTGGCATGGTGGTAAAGACACAGGACTCCCACATAGCTGACCACAGTTTGAGTCCCAGACCTGGAGACTTGAAACTCACACTAGGCACATGTACACGCAGGCCTAAAATCCCAAGAGGAGAATGGAGAAGGGGTTGCAGTATGGCCATCCTCCCCTCCACCCCCACTGAGGGGTAATTTCTTATTTTCCCTCTCACTGTCTCCTTCTGTCTCTTCAGTGAGCACACATGCCCTATGGCATAAAACCCTTAAAAACAAAGTTCACACCCAGTTGTCTGATAGCATGGGAACAAAGCAGTTTCTGGAATTTGGTAAGTGTTCCTTAATAGCGCACCAATGTCCATCCGTCTATATTTGGCAAGTCTTTTCTTTTATTGGGGGGGGGTGAGAGAATTTCACTATAGTGCGCGTGTGCTCGCCAGACAGACAGAGAGAAATATAGAGACAGAAAGCGAGAAATCACCCCCCGGGGGGATGGTCACACCGCAATCCCTTCTCCTCCATTCTCCTCTCGGGATCTTGGGCACGACGCACACGCGCCCGGCATGAGTTTTAAGCCACCGGGTCCGGGATGCAAACCGCGGTCGACTACATGGGAGTCCAGCGACATAGCCATTACGCTAACTGCTGGTTCCCGGCAAGTCTTTTCTGATTGTCATGTATGGTGGAACACAATACTAGGCATTGTGAAGTGAATATGAACAGCTGGAAAAAAATAGCTTTGCAGAAATAGAGATTTAAAAGAGATACCTGATTTTTTCCCCCCCTATGGGAGCAACCAAGTCCAAAGGACCAT